GATATATATATATATATATTATATATTAAAAAAGACAAAAAATAACGGAGAAGTGGGAATAACAGATTAGGTACTGTAACTTTATAAAGGCTTGTCTAGATCAAGAAGCAGCACACACACACCTCATTTATGCAAACTAAAGATGTATATAAACAGCACAATACTGCAATACTGGGTCTTGATACATTACCTGTACACATAACTACTACTGTTATTAATAAACCTTTGGGACACTCAGTCTTATGCCCAATGAGACATCAGTAAGTCTTTTAAATCTTCTCTTCCCCCTTTTAGGGAGGGCATTTCTAGACACTAACTTTCCCATCTAATATTCAAATATAGGAAACAGATTCCACAAGGTGCTTTAACTGATGAGACCTCAAGTGCTGTTTTCTCTCTGGAATTTTTGGATAGCAACAGTCCACGGAATCATACACAAATACTATGACAGAAGAGTTGTTACATTGTCTTTTGATGAAACTCGACTAGGGATGAACTTTATGACATGCTTGAGCAGCGCACTGAAGGGGATCCCATCTGAGTTAATACTTTGTCCAGCCACTGTAGAGGTCCATTCAGATGAAGTTCAATCCAGCAAGGAGTACTCGTTACTGTCTGCCTTCTGTTTGAAATACAAAAACAATTATGAAATTAAAAGGCTATACATAATAAAGCCTAATTTCTCTGGAACAATTATTAATTTTGTCGATACGACCATTAGTTTGAAAAATCATTAATTTTCAAAGTCAACATGCTCCATCTACCTTTTTAAAAACATATTTATTATGTGTGATGTGTGTGCATATGTGTATGGGTGCATATACCCATGCACATGCATGCAGAGACCAGAGGAAAATGTTGGGGTTCTTCCTCTATTGCTCTCTGTCTTGTTTCTGTGAGTTGGGGTCACTTGAACTTGAAGTCAGCTGTTTTGGCTAGGCTGGCTGGCCAGCAAGCTCCTGAGATCTGCCTGTCTCTACCCTCCAACGCTGGGGTTACAGGCACTCATAACCAGATTGACTTTTACATGGGTGCTGGAGATTTAAACTCAGGTCCTTGTGCTTGCCTAGCAAGCATTCTTACCAAATGAGTATTTTTCTAGCCTGAGAGTTTCAACTTTTAGAGAAGTTTATAAAAACATTCATTTCCTCTGAAGTTACTATACTGACAATGTTATTTATCTATCATTACAAAAGAGACAATACCTGTGAGAGAGACTTGAGGTACTAATAATCGGTCAAGAGGAGAGGTGTAAACTAGGAAAAACTGCCAAAGAACCTGAGACATGGTCACCGTTCTTTCAGTCAAACACAGAGTAGCAGGCACTTAAGTATCAAACGGGGTCTAAATGGAACAAGGTTCAAATTTAAAGTCTATTAAAAACAGAACAGTTTTGACTCAATCTAAATTCTGGCCACAGAATATTAAGACTTGAAGTTGAACTCTCCCCGACATGTCCTTTATTAGCAACATCATTCAGGCCTTTGGTTTAAAAAACAAAACCCAAACCTTCTAGAGCTTCAATAAAGAGGCCATTGCCTACTCCCTGGAATCATAGGACAGCCTGTTACTCTTAGTCATTTGTTTAAGCTCTACCTTATTTGCTACACAGTCAGTCAATAAATCTGCTTTTGCTTCTGCAAAATGACAGCCCTTCAACCATGAGAAAAGTTCATTTTCATCTCCACACGAAACATGCCCAATATAATTTGAAACTGAACATCCAAGAAGTTGGAATGATGGCTCAGTGACTAATATGTATGTACTGCACTTACAAGGGACCCAAGTTCAGTTCCTAGCAACCATACTAGGTGATGACAAATGCCTGTAACTCCAGCAGCAGGGGATCCAATGACCTTCTGGATTCTACAGGCTTTCAACTTTCTTCAATAAAATTTTTTGGGGGGACAGAGTCTCATGTATCCTAGGGTGGCCTCAAACTCCTGATCCTCTAGCTTACACCTACAGTGTTTGAAATTACAAGTACATGTCACCACATCTGGTTTATGTAGTGCTGGAGATCAAATCCAGTGCCTCATGCATGCTAAGGAAACACTCTACCAACTGAGCTACATCCTTAGACCTCTTTCTCTGATTATTTTACATAAAGATTTGCTGACTCCCCGACTTCAATGAAAACAGATATAAATGAACTCTAGAAGATATAAAAGAAGGGAATAAAAGTAACCACATTGCAGAAATTTAGGAAGTGATCATACCGGTACTCTGCTCCCCACCCTTTCACAAAACTCATTCTTATGGTGCACATTCTAGTTAGCTGGTACACGGCTTCAAAACCCTGATTAACAGACTGAGCCAGAAGAGCAGCAAATTCTTGGTTATTGAAGATCTTTAGGTTACAGCCTAGAATTGAGAAACAGTAAAAGAAATGGTGTAAAACCAACATCATTATTAGAACATAACTTTATTTAAAAGGGGTACAGGTTTTAGAATGAGCATACAAATTGGCTCCTGATTCCTAAGATCATTAGCAACTAGAAAAACTAAGTAACTTGATGTGAAAGGTTTATTAATTTAATATTGTTGAGTTCATACCTGGTGGAATTTTACACACTGTTGCAGGGTGCCAGCCATATCTCTGATTACAATTGGGACTCTGTACAAAGATTGCACTATCACTTAGGCACTCAGCAAAAACTTCCCCACCTATGTAATATAAGCGCACTCCTCTTCCTAAAAAACAAAACACACACGGGTTAGTTCCAGGACACATAATACTATTTCAGTGTGACTTTTGGAGAGTCGTCCTAAGAGGAATTCTAAAAGAATGCTAAGGGGCTTCCATGACTTTCTGTGACAGTCATGATTTTCTGAAATCTAACTCTGAAATATACCACTGCACATTTTTCCAAGAACTTTAAACAATGATTTCGATTTTTCAAAGTAATGCTAACTAAAAATATTTCAACAATACAGAAAAGTAATAATAGTGAGATAATTTCACACAAATTACCCGTTATCCCTTTTAAAAGCTGAGTTAGTTTTAAAGAATTAATGCCTGGGCAGATGTATCTTTATTAGAAGTCTTTCCTTAAAATATCCCACTTAAGGTTAAGAAAAGCTTAAAATACATCAACAGGTTAGAAACTACACACCATGGAAGCAATGATCTCTTTATCTAGGCAAGAAAAAAATTACAGTAGGATATTTTAGTACTTCTTTCAAAATCTGAATGAAACCCATCAGACATAAGTATTCAAACAAAGCACGTGATGAGCAGCATTCTACAATGGCACCCAAGAGTCTACTATGGTATGTGAACCATTTTGTAATCCAATCACATACTAGGTTAAGGGACTTTTTTCAGATATAACTGGAGTAGCAGTAAATCAGGTGACCATGCCTTTGTTATACAGAAAAAGAAATAAATAGTAAAACAATCAACAAACTAAATTTAATAGATAAATGCAAGCACTGCTACCCTACTTACTATGGAATTATAAAACCATTAATCATGTACTTGACTTCAAGGAAAGTATCAGATACAGGGCTGGGGATATACTTAGCATAGTATGCTTGCCTAACACACAAAGTCCTGAATTCAATCCTCAGTATAAAAGGTAGATTTCTTTTTGGTCTTTTTGAGACAGGGTCTCCCTGTAGCCCCAGCCAGCCTGGAACTCACTATGTAGACCAGGCTGGCCTTGAACTCACAGAGATCCGCCTGCATCTGCCTCCCAAGTGCTGGGATTAAAGGCGTGCACCACCATGCCCGGCTCAAAAGGTAGATTTCTTAAGCTATATTCTTTGATCAAAATCACATGATAAACTAAGAATCAAAAATAAAATAAAATTTAAAAAAGCCAAAAAAAGATCTAAAGTTCTAAAATCTAAAATTTTGTTAGAAGTTGAATAAGAACATAGGTGAAACTGCTAATTTTTTAATACAAAGTCCAAATTAAAACATAAAAACATAGGCCTTCCTTATCTTCAGTGGTGTCTGCATCCCTTAGCAAGATATCAATGTATAGCTATCAAGTTCTGATTTCACACTAAAAGACTTTCTAGTCATTTTACAGTATCAAAACCACTTTTTGGAATCATCATTTTCAGAGGAAATGATTAATCCAAATCACACAGAAGCAAATTCTTATTAAAGAAGTAACTTTATAGTTATGAGAACGATGCCAAATCATCTATGGCTCTCAAACTTTTTACCTCCCTGGGTTAAAAGAAAAATATTAAGAGCGCCAGAAAAATCTGGGTATATGTGGATTATATTATGGAAACTTACCATATTAGATATTAAAACTGAGATTAAAATGTGTTCATCTATTTAAAACTCAAAACAATATACCTATTAGTTATTAATGTAAATGTTTATGAAAACTATTTTCAAACTTAAAAAAAATCAGGAGAGTAAGTGGCAATGTTATACAGTCTGACAAATTTCTTTTGTGCCTGAAGTAACAGAAGAGCTGGATTCTCATCAGATTTAAGTTTCATCTCTTATAAAACCATATGCCATGTAGCCTCTGGAAGACTGCTGTACACTTTGAAGAAATGACGAGCAGAATCTTAGAACCATCAAGAAAGCAGTGCTGACCTCACACACTTGCTGAGGTGTTCATGGGACTGCCAGCAATCCTGAGGCCATATTATCTTGAGAACTCTGAATCATATTTTGAATTTTATTAAGTGGTAGTCTCTGTTTTAAATATCTACTTTCAGATAGTGAGTAGATTTGCTTTAATACATAAAACCAAAAGGTAGAGGAAAAAAACAAAACTGGAAAAAGACCATGCCTAAACTTGGCAATTTTACAACTAAAAGAAGCAAGTTAATTATTTTAACATATTTTCCAAAGGACTTCCCAGTATCAAGGATGCTAAATAAAGAATGAGTTGAACATAAGAGTTTGTAGATTGAAGAATCACCAGGCCCTGTTAAAAGAACCATGTCTGTGCACTTAAACATGGCAGCACTTTACAGATGTTAAGGAGACTGGGCTTTTCCATATAAGCTTTTGATTTATACCACACAATATCTACATTTTGAGTAAATTGTATTGGTTTTTCACACAAAGAAAACATACCTATATGCCTTCTTGTCATTTCTACCGTAGCATTTCGGTTAACATTGGAGAGTAAACCTAAGCAGAACCTCTCCGAGTTTGATGGATCTGTAAAGCCGTCTACAGTGAGCGAGGGCTGTGATGCATGGAAGGTCTCTCCAACCCTCTGGTTTAATTCATAATATGCTATTGAACACCAAAATGCAGGTTCTGAGTAAGTAACTGGTTGCAAATCTGAAGCAAGTAAAAGGAAGATGTGTGAACAATTCAAGATGAAACAGTGAACACCACAGTAACATGCTCCATACCAGCAGACATGGACAACAGTTCAGGAAGCTGTTGTTAACTTATGTATCAGTTTCTGCAGATCATAACAGATTTTCAGTTTTTCTTTAAAAATATTTTTTTATTATTTTTATTTATGTGTATGAGTGTATTGCCTGCATGTGTATAAGTGCACCCATGTTGTACAATGCCAATGGAGGTTAGAAGAGATCACTGGATTCCCCTGGAACTGAAGTTATGGACGGCTGTTAGCTGCCATGTGGGTGCTAGGAACAGAACTCTGGTCCTCTGCAAGAGTAGCCAGCTGTCTTAACATCTGAGCCATCTCTTCAGTCCTAGATTTTCAGTATTTGTTATACAGAACTCTGGTTTCCATAGATCATACCAGGTATTCAATTTCTCAAATTGTCCCCATCTCAAGAAGTCACTTTGTGTTGGGTTATTTGTTTTATCATTAGTTTGAATCTAGTTCTTGTTCAAATACAAAATAACCATAGGTAAAATAAGTCCAGCTTGCCATACTTGCATACATTTCTAAAATGCATAAAGAATGTAATTTTTGACAGGACAAAGTATAAAGCTGGAGGAAAGATAAAAGTAAAAAGCCACATGACAAAAAGATATCACAGAGAAAGAATTTTAAAAAAGAACTTTTCTGACACTTTTCTGTTCTGACGCACATGTAAGTATCAGACAATAAAATACACTAAGGATGTTAAGTGAAAACAGAATATGGCATCAATAGATTTAAAAAAAAAGAGTTTTCTCTTAAGTGTCTCCATGTGTCTGCCAAGGTCAGGAGAGGCAGGTGGATTCCCTGGAACTGGAGTTAAGGACAATTGTGAGCTGCCATGTTGGTGCTAGGAAATGAACTAGGGTCCTCTGCAAAGGCAGCAAGTGCTCTTAACCTCTGAACCATCTCTCCACCCCTTAAGACTACTTATTTAATGGGAATGAGGATCAAATGTATTTAATCTCTGTAATTTTGACAAAAATTTGTCATAAGATTATGAAAGGAAAAAAAGTGATAATTTTGTGTAATAAATTTCAAATATGTAAAAGCTGAATAGAAACTATGAAATAAGGCAAAATGAGAGTTAAAATGAAGAACACGAATCTATGTATATATGCATATATTCACACACATCTTTTATATTCAATTACTTTAAAACATATCATAAACTTACCCACTGAAACTATCCACATTAGGCTATTAAACTTTCCATAAAGAATATAATTTTAGTGAATGAAAGACTGTTTCATAAACTCACTGTTGCCAATAGAAAATACTTTTAGTACTAAAACACAGTATCAATTTTTAAAAAACATTAATTTAAACCATAATTTTAATTTTTCTCAGACAAACCAAAGTAATTTCTAGACATTCCTTAATATAGTAAAAACAGTAAGATGTAATTGCAACTTACCCAAGCTATGATTAACAGGGGAGAGAGTGGTAGGAGACAATTCTGCTGGAGAGCCTAAACCAAGGAAGAATATAGGCATTGATTTACTAGAATGTGAGATCAAGCAATTAAATGGTTCCACCTGGTTTTGTTATCAATAATACAGATAATTTTTATATCCTAAGAATCCAAAATATGATTTTTAGTTTAATTTGAGGGGGCTACAACACATGAAGTATAAAAGGATATAAAAGCACTGATTTAAACCATCTGAATAATTCTTAATTCTTTCTCATGGTATAAACAGACTAAGCTTGTTACTACCCAGGTTCAGTTTCCAAAGGAATTCACTATTGACAGTTCTTTGTGTACCTCTCAGGAATATTCTATAAATACATGAACAATTATATATCTGTTCTGTGTCTTCCCCTTTCATGCATAAATGGTACACAGTTCCGAACGTCTGCATGAGTTATTTTATTAGAAACAGTTTGTGCTGATATGTCCATATTACTTGTCTCTCTACCTCTACCAGCCAGCACCTTAAAACAGTATCAAGGTAAATCATGAATACCCTAATGATAGATGTTCAGGCTACTTTTCATCTTTTGCTTTACAAACCAAGACTATAATGACTAACCTTACAACACTGTTAGACACATTTTTTTCCAAAAAGGTACTCTTAAAAGAAGCTGCCAGGGCAAAGGGCTGATTTGGTAATTTGGTAATTTTTTGGCCAAATTATCATTCACAGAGCTTGTACCAGTATACACTAACATCAGCACCACCAACAGTGAGAGATGCCCATGGTGTTACTACTGACAGATGAGAACATGGTCTCAAACAAGTTTAGTTTTAAGCTGGGCATGGTGTTGCATGCCTATAATTCTACCATACAGAGAAGTCAGAGGTGGAAGATCAGGAGTTTGAAGCCAACTTCAGCTACGCAGCAAGTTTGAGCTTGGTGTAGACTTTGTCTTAAACATACATTTTAATTCACATTTCTCTTGTAAGATATCAAAGAACTTGATATTTATTCATGTTTTATTTCCTTTTTGTGCTCTTTTGCTCACTTTCCCCTTGTGGTACTGATAGCTTACTCATCTGTATAAGTCTCTTTATATATTAAAAGATAAGTCCCTTCATGGTCAGGGTTGCAAATATTTGATCATTTGTTTAGTGACACAATTCGAATTTTGATGCAGTATTTACTGGGGATCATGACACAGTTCAACAAAATAACAGCGGATACTCCTGTCTTGACTTTAAAGTACTGCACTTAGTATTTTTCCACTACCAGGATGCCTGGTTTGGTGTTGAGAAAACTACAATGGCTTATTCAGGATTTTCTGCATCCACTCTCAAGTAGTACTGATAGCACAGCACATTCTTTAAAGTTTGGTAAAATTTTGTGAAATTCTAGTTTACGAATCTGAGAGATTTTCTATTTCTTTTGTGAAAGTTAACTTGTTTAAAGACAGTTCTATTTCTCATAACCATTATTATTAAATTCTATTTTTCTCAGAAAATTAACAATTTTAATCTAATCAAGAAAATTCAAGGGCACAAATACTTAAGATAAAAAGACAAATATATACAAGCAAACTTTAAAATAAATTTGTCGTAAATATTAATCTTACTGCAATTATAAATACAATAGAGACATTATAAGAAAGTTTCTAAAAGAACACAACCTACAGGCAGCTCCTCCTGCAAATGTATGCTATGGTATAGATGGAGACTGAGGGAGGTGAGCCCGCTTCATGCGGCACTCTCTACCACACACCACAACAACCAAGGCAGAAAATGGTTCAGAAGGCGAAGTGGCCGCCACCAGACCAACAGTCACATCACAAAGAGAGAGCTTGTGATCCACTATTTTTTTAAAACAGAAAACAATTTTAATACACAATCATGTTCTTTGTTCCTCATTTTGAAAAATCTGTTGGCAAATCACAACAGGTACAAATAAGAAATCCACTCCTTATTTCCTGAAGCAGATCTTTTAACTGTTTACATATCTATTAATACTGATTAAAAGTAACAAGTACAGTTTCAGTTCACTAAATCAGGAGTAGAGTTAGATGTCACAAGACACATTATAAAATCTTTAAAAATTGAGGATCTGGAAAGATGGCTCAGCAGTTAAGAACACTGGTTGTTCTTGCAGAAGACCAGGGTTTGAATCCCAGCTCCCATATGGCAGCTAACAAGTGTTCGTAACTCCAGTTCCAGGGGATCAGACAGCCTCTTGTGTCCTCCGAGGGCATTGCACATGGGTGTACTTAACCTACATGCAGGCATAACACTCATACACATAAAATAAAAATAAATATTTAAAAAATTTTTTAATTTAAATTAAGTAAATGACCTGTTAACAGAGCTTTTTAGAAATGTTGTTTTAAAGCGGAGACGGATGAACTGTTCATATTAAAAATGCTGCTGGGGAGGTTTGGCCTGCCCTGGGCCTTCCAGTTTTGAGAGCTACAAGGGTTCTCAGTACGTGTGCCAGTTTGACTCCGCAGTGTCTGCTGTTTGGAGCTAAAACGTGTAGAGAAACCCTTTGCATACAAGTTTAGGATGTAAGGTAAGTTTCTCAGCAAGGAAGCATTAAATGTTTTTATGAGCACTGAAGTACACTCCTAAAATGCTTAGTCCCACCAGGAACTCACAAGCTCCTGTTTCTTTGTAACAGCTCTACATGTTGACACGTGTCAATCTGACAGATTTAAAAGTGAAACTTTTATTATTAAGTGCTACATCCTTATTTTTATCCACTTTTTCTAATAACTACCATCATTTTCCTCCCTCCTGCACTTGTTTTCTGTTTCAATCGGTTCCTAGAAATGTCATGCATCTGTAAATACTTTCAACAGTTTTTTAATCTATTTTAGTGCATCTTTCAAGGTGACATTAATAATTTGCTACTTAATAGAAAAAAAACCTTACTTTTTTTTCTTTTTAAAATATTA